CCCCTGTCCCCCCTCCAGTGTCCTTCCCACTGTCTCCACAGCCCATCCCAGAGAGAGGGACCCTCCCCCACCTCCCACCCCTCCCATCCCTATGGGAACCAGCATAGGGCGCCTCCAGCCCCAACCTGCACGCCCACAAGGCAGTGCCCATGAGTTCCTATTTCCACCACAAGGGGGCGCCATCGCCCCAATTTCCCGGCCCCCTCCCATCTGCGCAGGCAGGTTCATGATACCACTGGGTGCACACTGCAGGAGGCGGTGCCGGGGGGATGGGTGCTACAGCCACCCGAGTGCACATTCAGGGGTCCCGCACCCATGGGCACAGAGAGTGCTCCTCTCCCTTGGCCGTCTGCACTCGGCCTCGGCTGCTGAACAGGGGCCCAGCCCCTCAGCCATGGGCTCTGGGTGGTGCACCCCACAGCCCATGCCCCCAGGTGGGTCGAGCCGGGCTGCGAGGGGCGTGGCAGCCATCGGGTTCAGTATCACTAACCTGACAAGTGCAAACAATCCAGGCCCCAAAATACCCTGGGGGTGGCTGAAGAATAAGAATTTGCACTAGCTATTTTTTAAAAAAAATTGTACTAGCTATTTTTTATGTTTATAAGAACATAAGAATGGCCAGACTGGGTCAGACCGAAGGTCCATGTAGCCCAGTGGCCAGCACCAGGTGCCCCCGAGAGGGGGGGCCAACCTTCTCCAGCCTCTGACAAACAGAGGCCAGGGGCACCATTCCTACCCCCTGGCTAATAGCCTTTTATGGACCTAACCTCCATGCATTTATCTAGCTCTTTTAAAACTCTGTTGTAGTCCTAGCCTTCACAGCCTCCTCTGGCAAGGAGTTCCACAGGTTGACTGAGCGGTGTGAAGAAGAACTTTCTTTTATTAGTTTTAAACCTGCTACCCATTAATCTCATTTGGTGTCCTCTAGTTCTTATATTATGGGAACAAGTAAATAACTTTTCTTTATTCACCCTTTCCACACCACTCATGATTATATATACATCTATCATATCCCCCCTCAAAGAAAAGTCTCTTCTTTTCTAAACTGAAAAGTCCCAGTTTCTTTAACCTCTCCTGATATGGGACCTGTTCCAAACCCCAAATCATTTTTATATAATTCCTGGCATCCTATTTGCTTTTTTGATTGTCGCTGCACACTGTGTGGATGTTCTCAGAGAACTATCCACGATAACTCCAAGATCTCTTTCCTGATTAGTTGTAGCACAGAATCATAGAACTGGAAGAGAC